CAGAGACGAGTGTGTTCATAAGCACTATATAACTCTGATCCAAACAATACATCTCTAAGGAACCTTTTCTACCAGCCTACATAGCTTTTCTGAGTCTAACCTTTTCTATAAACAGTGAAGTAAATACTCTACAGCAAGAGAAAGAGTTGACTGGTGATACGGAATTTGACAGGTGACTTTCCATCAGGATTATTGCCTTACAGAGTATTTCTTTTTCCCTGTAAGGTATTTTTCCTAGTTTTTGTTTTGGTATGAAAGAGTAAAAGGTAAGACTCCTGTCTGGCCTGCAAAACAGAGTTGCTCTTCTCTGTCATGCTATTCTGAGAAAACCCAATGATCATTAAATTAACCATTTGATAGTACTGAGGTCTTAGCTAGATGCTCCAACCCAGAAGCAGATGCTCAGCGAGTATGGCTAGCACTCTCCTCTCCATAAAATACCTTTCTCTCATACTCTCCTCTCTCTCTCCCTGCCTCTCTGAGGATGGCACAGTGGCAGGCCAGGAAAGACCCACAGGTCATTTATGGCACTCATATTTATGGCACAGAAAATGATAAAATGCTACACCAACCTGGTTTAGCAGAGATTTTCCTACAGCCTTCATAATGGGGTAAGCAGAACATAATACTATCTACCCGCTATACTACCTGCTTTATGCTGCAGTCCTGAGATATTTCTATGCCCGCCTCTCACTCCAGGAATTTACAGTTTAACTTAATTGTATTCTTTCTTATGACTCCTGTTCTCTTAGCCTCGTGCACCATGGACTCTGACAGACGCAGGCGCTGAGGATCAGCTTCATGCTGACACAAGTGATACAACTGACTCACAGAAAGCCAGAGACCCGCAGAGTAAATTCTTTACAGAAAGACCATCAACAATAAGTCATCTTTTGCGTACAAGCACAATATACATCTCTGTATACCCTCTGCATATACACACTCCATGATTCCCACCCCCCCCACCCCCTTCCCTTTTCTTTTTCCAATTTCTCCTGCGTGCCATTTTATGCTCCAGTCTAATGTTGCATAGTTTTTGGTACCTGATCCAAAAGACAGCTCAGGAACAGTTAACCCTGCTGATGGTTGTAGAGATACAGCTTGTGTGCAGCTGATTCAGCTGTTACTGATGTCAACAGAAGTCTGTGGAAAGACTCTGGGGAAGTTTGGAGATCTTTTGCCTGGTGTGGGGGAGAAGACAGTCAGTTCCTATTAAATAAATCCTTAACAAGTGTCTAACAAAATAACCTTTGAACTGCAGCTGAGGACTCAGGGTTAAGCTTCTAAACACTATCATGCATGCATTACCATTTTCTATTACTTGTCTTTTTCAACTTCTAAAAAATTTTCTTGGAAAGCTCTGCTAGTGCATCCCAGGTTGATGAAGTAACATGGGTCATTGAGCCCTTAAGCCTGCTAAGAAATCAGAAAATTTCTAGCGTATCTCCCCATGCATCTTTAAAAACAATCCTGGAAATGATTAATCACTGAAGTTTGTTGTAAGAACACACTGTTTTGGTTTGATTGCCTTTTTTTGGTGAGCTTTTGACTTGGTAAACAGAGAAAAACATTGTTCATTTAACGATCAACCATTCCATGCTGGTTATGTCATGTGGGTCTTTGACTTCAGTCTCTAAAAAGAACAGGCTCCTGACAGAAGTCTTCCCATATTTAGATCATTCAGAAGGGCTCACCTATGTAGAGAGGGTAAGCCTGTCCCACTGTCTCTTTCATCTTCCTTGATGTCTATTCACACGAAACATAGGAATTTCAGGTATTTAAGGCCACATCTACACTAGAAAATAACGCAATGTGAAAGGAGAAGATCTGAAGAGCAAGAGTTTGTGCTAAGGGTTCAATGTCCATGCTGTAAACATTGAGGCGGGAGGGGGGTTAGCTTTTAGCTGGGTCCCCTGGACTGAACGCACATGGGCACTTTGTGTGTTTTATGTACACTTTTGGAGCTCATCTTCAAGGGCAGTTTCATCTGAATTCAGTTCATGTGCTCCAGGACCACTCTGCAGTAACAGCCCAAGTGTGATAAGCAATGACACTCAGGAAACCCACCACAAAACCTCCCTCCCAACGCTCATGTAGAGATTTACCCCATCCAGCCAAATGTTCTGCTGAGTGAATATGCATACTTATGAATGCATATGTATACATTACCCCACAACCTTGTTTCCACAGGACCAGATCTAAAAATACTCATTTATCAGCTCCACAATGTTCTGAGTAATTCTGCTGCCCCTTGACATCTAACCTGCACTATTTAAGAGCAATGAACAATTTATCTGCTTCCAAGATCTGGCTGATGAAAAGCACCACTGACTCTCCATTTTATTTTAGAATTAATGTATCCTGTGGACGCTATCTATGTATAGAATATATACAGATAGAAAAGTGTCTGAATGAATGAGAAATTCCACTTTTTGAAACAATCCTTTGTGTTAAATACAATTGTACTGGGAGCTCTGGTAAAAATCTCCTTTTAGCAGAAATATCCTAATCCTTCTGGGACAGTGCACTCCAATGTAAGCTATTCTCACATCTATAGCATCTTAAAAAATGAACTTCCCAGACTCGAACCAAACAAAAAACCCCAGAGTGAATGCCATGTGGTCCTAGCCCCTTTTTAACTGAATCAAGGGCAACTGATGGATCTTGCAAGTCATGTACTGCTGTTTCTCCACACTTCTTTGTGAAACACTGCAGCACACCTTGCAGCTTTACAGTCATAAGGAGTGCAAACACCTAACTCAACTTTTATGGTTTGGCATGTTACTTAACACAGCATATTTAAGATTAATCAGCAATAGTCACCTCCAGCAGATGAAACAAAAATTTGCATGGGCAGAAAATGGATACAGAGTCTTTAGGTGGTGGCTTGAAAACATGCTCACCTGTAAGCATTCATTAGCATCAGCTTCAGCTCTGTGCATGCCATGGGATAACCAAGAAAATAATAAAAAGTTACGTATATTTGACCTCTCGGCAAAAAAAGCGTAAATAGTTCTGTGCCTAGGGATAATATTTTCATGTTTCTACATGTTTCTCTTTTTACCTGCACCCAACTAGGTGTGTATTACTGCATGTTTCAAACTCTCACTTGAACATGCGCTGTCCACCAAAGAACTTCCAGATGCTGTGTCACACCATGTCCTGGATACGACATCACCGTCGCATTGTGCAAGGTCCTGCAAACATATGTCAGTAATAGGAATATTCTCTCTCTTTCTCCATTTCCAGTCCTGTAACTTCCAGACATGTAATCTGTGTTAAAAAGTTTGTGATACAAAACTACAACTTTTTCAGTTTGATCTTTTTAACAGGTGGGAGTTTAAGACTGAGGTCTTAAAACCATCCTCAGACACCCTAACATACATTCAGATTGCCAAGTGCCCGCTGTCCCAACAAACCCTTCAGCCACTCACTCCAGAGCTTCTACCCAGATTTAGGAACTCAGCTCTAGGCTGCTACTTCAGAAAACTTTCTTAACTCTCCTCACAAATTTGTCAGGCTCTCTCTAAGAATGACAACAATTTCCTTCTGCCTAATTCTATCCACTTGTATTTTGAAGTGTATTCTAATAGTGTTTTCTGACTTCATTTTGTATGTGCTTGTCTGTTCTAGGTATCTGGCCATTGTTCACCCACTGAAACCACGCATGAATTATCAAACAGCAACCTTCCTAATCGCCTTGGTCTGGATCGTCTCCATACTTGTAGCTATCCCATCTGCATACTTTGCTACTGAAACGGTGTTATTTATAGTGAAAAACCAGGAGAAGATTTTCTGTGGTCAGATTTGGCCAGTTGACCAGCAGATGTACTACAAATCATACTTCCTCTTTATCTTTGGCATTGAATTTGTTGCACCTGTGATTACGATGACCTTGTGTTATGCCAGGATCTCTCGGGAGCTTTGGTTTAAAACTGTACCAGGATTTCAGACAGAACAGATCAGAAAGAGACTTCGATGCAGAAGAAAAACTGTTATGGTACTGATGTGTATCCTGACTGCCTATGTTCTCTGCTGGGCACCTTTCTATGGCTTCACAATTGTCCGTGACTTTTTCCCCACCATCTTTGTGAAAGAGAAGCATTATCTTACTGCTTTTTACATCGTTGAATGCATTGCTATGAGTAACAGCATGATAAACACCATGTGTTTTGTAACTGTAAAAAATAACACCATGAAGTATTTCAAAAAGATTATGTTGCTCAGATGGAGATCAACATATAATGGAAGCAAATCTAGCACGGATTTCGACCTGAGAACAAGTGCAATGCCAGTCACAGAAGAGGTAGACTGCATAAAACTGAAATAAATTTTCTGCAGTTCTAATCTCACATAATTTGGAGAGGGGGTAAAAAGGAAATGATGCCTCCTCAGAAGCTTCTCCCTTGTCTGGGGATACCCATCATTGGTGAGAGCCCTCAAAAAGCAGCCGACTATGCATTTCCGCAAGAACTCTTTTCATTGGACTGCTGTATAATCCCATAACTCAGACTGATGCTGTGCTTCAGTTCACCCATCTGTAAATCTGGGACGTAGACACTGATTTCAGTTGTTTAAAATTTAAGGTAAACAAAATGTTTATGAATGCATTAAAGCATATTGCAAAGATGGAAGAGTTGATTGCTGATGCTAGGAATGATGCCTCTTTTTTCTTCCTAAGAGAAATCTCTTAACCCCTTTGAGCTTATCATTTGTACCCTTAAGCTATTTGGTGTCCTTTTCCTTCTGCTCACAAGAGGAAGGATGGCAAAAAAGCCCATTTTGCTTCATGTCACTCTTTATCTTCACAGTTTACCCCTCACGATGAAGCTCCTTGAAATCTACAGACCACCAGCTTTCTATTGTCCAATGTGCAGCATGCTCTTACGAAAGGCACATTCTCTACAAAGCTAAATACTGCTCCACAGTCTGGTGAAAACCTCAAGTCTCTTCCTGTGACACCTTGTTTAAGAATATTTTACCAACACTCCACTCCGTAGTTTTATGTAAAGTGTTACTCTGTCTATTATGTATTTGGAAATGGCACAGCTACATATTGAAGGGACCTGTTCCCTTCTCTCACCTCCAGGCACCCTATGGCCAGCTTCTACTGCCTTGAGTCACTGAACTCTTCACAGAATCAACCACAAAACTGTAGAGGTGGGGAACCACATCTCCAGATTGTCTAGTCCACCCCTCTGCTCAAGCAAGATCAGCTGCAACAGGTTGCCCAGGATTGTGTCCAGTTGGGCATTGACTAACTGCAGGGATGGAGACTCCACAGCCTCCCTGGACCACCTGTGCCAGGTTCAACAGCCCTCACAGTAAAAAAAGTGTTTTCTTTTGTTCAGACAGAATTTCATGTGTTTCAACTTGTTTTTCAGTGGGACCCATATAAAAGAATAGCATGTTAGCGGGAAAAAATTCACTCTGCAGAACCAGGCCTAGGTATCTTATCAAGTCTGTGTACACCTTCAAAATAAAGTACTAGTATGGCCAAAATCGCAGAGAGATCTCGAGACAATCTGTCCTTCTGCAAGCAATGGAGACACAGCCTAGGCTTCAGCAAGCCAGTCGCTGCTGGAGTTGAGTGGCTGATTGCCTGGTCAAACATGAGGCAATAACTCAAGATGAATTCTGCATTGCCTCCTGCAGTGCTGTTTTTACTATTCTGATTTTGCGCAGCTCCAGGATGGGTGTTTCTTAACTGATAATCGTAATAAAGCAGGTGACAGTAGCAGTAATACCTACTCATTTAAACTACACATAAGGTATCATGGACTTTTGTGTATTGAAATCAAGTCTTTTCTATCGTGATGACAAACGCTTCCTGTTTTGAAGTATGTGGTACCACCTACTTTTGAAGTAAATGGCTTTTGTAAATAATTTGTCTATTTGCGAATTTGAAGTGAGCAGCAAATCCTGCTAATAAAACACTAAACACGGAGTCAATATCAGCATTGTGAATTATTTTTTGTATTTTCCCTTAGCCATAATTTTCCTACCCCAAGTGACTAATGTGAATCATCCCATTTCTGCTAAAGAAAAACTACCAGGCTGACCTATTAAATTTAATGGTAAAAGGATATTCAAATCCATTAAAGTGCTCAAATCCTCTCGACAATTAGCGGCTCTTAAAAAATACACGTTCATCTCATAATTTGCTCTGTTAGGCAAAACAATTGTTGAAATACTTCTTCAATATGACATTTTTTAATAGGGACAAGTACTAAATCCATTTGTTTCCCAGCTTGCCAAAGAAATTTAAAGAAACAGAGAGTTGCAGTATTTCATCATCAAGAGGCTTAATCTTGTAATTTCTCCTGAATCTCATGATTTCTTCCGAAACTATACACTGATATTTACATCCTGAAGCCTGTCCTAGATATTGGGGATTAGCTGGCAATACCACCTGTTATTAGATACCGTCCTGATACTCCTCCCACCTATTTTTCCTAGACTCTTCTTGGTGCAACAAAGCCAAACAACCAACAATTTTTCACACCTGGAAATCCACCTCAGGCTGAGTTATTAAAAACCAAAAAGCTCAACCCTCACCAAGCAATATAGTACCAAGCAAAAACTGGGGGAAAGAATTGCTTTACAATTCGGGAAATCACTTTGAGAGGTCCAAGAGAGCTCTTCTGGTCCAGCCGGCCCAGTGTTCTCCGCCATCACCCTGACCCTGCGAACAGTAGTAAAGCAGCAGCTGCCACAGCCCCTGTTGTGGATTTAGGTTTTGGGGTCTGCTACATTGCTGTATTTTGACATCTTGAGGCCTTCCCAGCAGCAAAGCAGTGTTTCATCCTGAACCACTGGATAAGGCAGGAGAAAAAGCTGTGCTTTGCCCTCAACTGCATTTGTTGTGAGCAGTATCCCCAGAGAGAGGGCGATTCCCACCAAGGAAGGGTGGCAGTCTCCTGTTCCCCTATCAGGGCAGCCAAGCAGTCACACCGCCCTTAGCCTGCATCTGCACCAACTCCAAACACCCCAGAACTGGTCACAGGCTTCTCTTTCAGGGACCAATGTCTGCTCCTAAATGGAGCTCCAGCAAGCAGGGGCCCAGGTCAGAGAGCCCAAGGGCCTTGCATGGGAACAGAAACCCCATGGAGCTTTTTTGTCCCCACAGAAGTAATTTTGTCTAGGGAGTGACAGGGTATGGCCCCCTCCATCGGCCAGGGCCTGCCTGCCACCCATGACTGCACTTAAATGGAGAACACTCTTACAGTCACTTAAAAACTCCCTTTAAGTGCAGAAGTGTACATCAGGGACAGGCCCTGACCAGAGTGGCTCCCTCAGGCAGGGGGGAGCAGGCAGGCCATGGTCCAACCAGCAGCCAGGGACAGGGCCAGACCCCACACCCCTATAATTTAAGTCAGTGAGCTGTGCAGGGAGAAAAGAAGAGAAAGGCTTTTTTGTACCCACAAAACTCAGTCTAGGGAGCGTGGGTGCCAACGTGTGCTCCAGAAATGGGTGCTCCCTCAGCTCCCTGTCAGGTGGGGGCTACCCTGCTGCCTCCTGCCCCGCCCTCCCCAGCAGAAACACCTTCTCACTTACATTGAATGGCAACATTTAGTGAGGCAATTGAATGCGGACTGCACCTACCTGGAGCTCTGCTGCAAGAGCCATGCTTAAACAGAGAAAGAAAAGCACAAGCTGAGACAAAAGCAGCATCTGTCACAGAGGAGAAGCAGCTCCTACCTGCTGGAAGGCGGTAAAAACTGCAGCAAGACCTCCACGGCCGCCAGCTGCCCACTATTAGCTCCAGTGGCAGCGCAGCAATAAGGACTTCACCATGCAGGAACTGTGGCATGTGTCAAGGATAAGGAGCTGGCGGGGGTGAGGCATTCTCCTGAGAGCTGTTAGAGGGGTTTACATAACCATGTGGAGAATAAACCAGGTGCCACCATGTCTCAGTTGTGGCTTGCTCCAACTTTTATTGCCAAAAGCAAAAGTGTGGTGCTCTCATGCCAGATTCCTGTCCAGCTCTCCTCCTGCAGCACAGCTCCCAAAACCATAGGCTCGCTTCCTTCTGCAGGAGCTTCTCCAGGGCTAACTGAAGGTAAAATCTAGTCCTTGCTCCCTCACACTGCTCTCTGAAAAACAAACGAACAGGTGTAACTGGAAACTAAAATGGTGACCTCGAATAGCTAAGAGAGGATTAAGAGAAGGAAAAGCAGTTATTCTCAGCAATGGGCGCTGAGAAAATAAAGTATGTATTTTAATAAAGCAATAGCAGGAAAAGAAACTCCAACCATTGTCCCTCTACCAAAAGTGGACTACCTGCAAGACCCTAGGCCAGGGTGGGTCATGATAGCCAGGACATGAAATTTCCCTGAGGGCTGACTGACTCACTCAGGAGCTCAGACTCAACTGTGCTCCTCCTTCTTTCAGCCTGGCAGCCTTTCTTGTGGCAACAGCACCCTCCAGCTGCTGCCTCTGCAGCACAGCATCACACATCTGAAAACTGCACCAGCTCAGCTACCTGGGCAGAGATATTCCCAGGATTCGCATGCCTCCAACAAGCAGCAACAGATGCTTCAGCTTTCAGCACTCAGCCACCTAGGCACTTACCCAACACTTCTGGCATCTGCATCCTCTCTTGCTCTGTGTCAGCAGGACTGGGACCCTTGCTGGGTGCTTGGGCTACCCCCTTCCAAATGCTTCATACCATCTGCACTGAAAAAACCCAAACCATTGAACAGAAGAAAGCAGAACTGAGACAAGACAGACACTGCACCCTCAGACTCACCAGAGATCCTGTTCTCTCTTACGTTCTGTTAGCATCCTGTTCTACAGACTCCACCCTAATGCATGTTGCCAGAAAAAGCCCCCAAACCAGTGAGACAGACATCACTGCAGCTTCCAAAGTGACCTTCCTAACACCATCCAGAACAGAAGAACAAGGGACAAAACCTGACATAAAAACACCAAAAGAATAATGAATAAGAACCAACGCCAAGCACAAAGTAGCTCAAAGTACAGTTGTCTCCCTCAAAACCAGTACTGGGTAAAACTGACAGAAGAGAAGACAGAGATGGTAACGTTATCCAGAAAAAGACATCCCTGAGCTCAAAAGACAATGGAGGAACATAAAAACCCCATGTAAACTAATCCACCTGCTCATCTGCTGGTTCCAGAAGAAAAAACATGGAAGGTAACACACAGAAAGCATGCATCACAGGAAGCGCATTGAGGCATAGCAAGAAAATCTGGGCATGCAGCACTCTGAAAAAGCCACATGCTGAAGCACCCTACAAAAACCAGGAGATGGAAAGCTCCAAAAAAGGCACACATTGAAGTGCTCCAAACAGCAGGGCACTGAAAGGCTACTACAGGGCCATGTGTAGAAGTGGTCCAAAACAGCCAGGCAGTGAAGCACTGCTCCAGGACGGTGCTGTTATATTAATACATCAGGCGCTGTAGGAATCAAGAAAAAAGCCACAGGGTGAAACACCTCAAAAAGAGCCATGCAGTGGAGGCCTCCGAAGAAGGCAAACAGGGAAGCACTCCTCAAAAAAACAGGTGCTGAAAGACTCCTCCAGGGCAATGTGGTGACGCGCCTCGGGAGGGGCACAAAAACAGGCTCCTCTGGGGCAGCGAGAGGATCAGTAGCTCTGAGGTGGGGAGACGTGACACTGGGCTCCTCTGGCACAGTGCGGTGAAGGGCTCCTCCAGTGCAGTGTGGTGAACACCTCCTTCACAGCGACGTGATGATGGGCTCCTCCAGGGTGGTGCAGTGAAGGGTTCCTCTGGGGTGTCATGATGACAGGCTCCTATGGGGAGGTGCAGAAACGGGCTCCTCCAGGGAGCTGAAACAATGCGCTGCTCCTGCATGGAACAGATGCAGAACTCCTCTGGGGCCAGCACAGTGAAGGGCTCCTCCAAGGCAGCATGATGATGGGCTCCTCCGGGACAGTGTGACAACAGGCTGCTCTGGCACAGCGCAGTGGAGGCCTTTCTGGGGTGGTGCAACAACCGTCTCCTTTGGGGCGCCGCCATAAAGTCCTCCGCTGGGTCACTGCCATGAAGGGAGGAGTAAAGGGAGGAGTAGTAAAGAAAAATTAATTTAGACAGAAGAGTCATTAAGTTAATTTAAAAAATACATCAAATTAATGAAGGAGTCAGATTTAAATTCTCACAAAAATAATCAAAAGAAGAAAATTATAAAAGATTTATCCACAGAACAGACACTGAGGTGTGGCGCGAAAAGCAGACCCTTAGATGGGGAGCGATGAAAGACTCCTACAGGATGGAAAAACGAATGGATCCCTTGAGAGAGTGAAAAAAAATGACTCCTCAGCGGTGGAGCGACGAAAGGCTCCTCCGCAGTGGCGCGACCAAACGGCTCCT